CTAAGGGTGGAGACCAGGGCCTTTGCATCTAGCTACATTCCTGGTCCTGGATAAGAAAACCATTTTTATTTACTTTTATTTTGAGACAGGATCTAATTAAATTGCTACATTGCCCAGTCTGGGTTTGAGCTTGTGATCCTCCTGCCTCAGCCTCCCCAGGGCTGGGCTCACAGGTGTGTGCCACCAGGCTTGGCCTGGATTCCTGATTCTTGATTTATTAAAGGGTGAACGAAGCCTGAGGACTTAGTTCCATCAGACTGCTTGAGGGCTGGCTGCTCTAGGGAGAGAGCAGAGAACGCTCTGTAAAGAGTTTGGATTCCAGGATAGATTCTTAGAGATACAAAAAAGGACAGCACCACCTCCCCCTTCTCCCCTCCCCCAGGCATCCCTGCAGTTCAGAGAGTTATGTTAACTGTCTTTGGCATTTGAAAAAACAAGACAAAACTACTGCAGAGTTTTTGGAGAAAAATTTTCTTTTCTTCCTGGCACTGGGGATTAAACCTAGAGCTTTTGCACCAAGCAATGTCTCCATCTCTTTTTTTCTCTCTCTCTCTTTTTTTTTTTTTCTTAAACTTTTTATCGGTACCGGGGATCGAACTCACGACCGCCTGCTTGCAAGGCAGGTGCTTATGCCGCTGAACTTTACCTCAATTTAAAAAAATTTTTTGAGACAGAGTTTCCCCAGGTCGCTAAATTGTCCAGTTGAACTTGAAGTCTTTTTTTTTTTTTTTAATTACCGGTACTGGGGATCGAACTCACAACCGCCTGCTTGCAAGGCAGGTGCTTATGCCGCTGAGCTAAATCCCCAGCCCCAAACTTGCAGTCTTCTTGCATCAGCCTCCCAGCGAGCTGGGATTACAGGTGTGTGGCACTACGGCCTGCTGAATAAACTCTTTTCTTTTTGAAAGGTTCTTGCCCTTACTCTACAGTTATGGCGGTGGTCTCACGTGGCAGAAGGTCACTTCCTGCTTCTTCCTCAGCCCTAATTGCAACTCCCCTTCCTGTTTGCACTCACAGAGAATTCCAATAGTTTCCTCACACATCATCAATATCCGCCCCATGCGTCCCCTCCAATCAGAGATCATGTAACTCTCTGTATTCTGTCGAAGGACACGGCCCAGCCTCGTGGGTTGTTGCTCCTTCCCACGTCCTCAACTCAATAAACCTGCTCATTTCATTCTGTACTTTTTGCTTCTCTATTGTGCCAGAATACTCCAACGTTTTTCTAAGTTGGGCCCCATAGTTGGGGCCTGAAAATTATCTCAAGATAGCTGGGCCCTTATTGATTGATTATTTATTTGTTTATGTTTTTGCGGTACCAGGAACTGAATCCAGGGTGACATATGCTTGCGTCTCCTGGCGGAAGGGTAGTTTCGTTTTCCTGTCACAGTAAACCAGGATGAACAGTGTGCAGTGTGTGTTCTGTTCTGTGTCGTCCCGCCCCACACAGCCTTGAGGGGTGGGGCCCCACCCTCACCCCCACCCTCACCCCCACCCCCAACACACAGCAGAACGCCCCACACAGCCTTGAGGGGTGGGGCTCCACCCCCAACACACAGCAGAACGCCCCCAACACACAGCCGAGCTCTGTGGTGCAGCCAAGTGGGCAGAAGAGTGCTGTCCCGCCCTGCTGGCTGGAGTGCTGTGAACCCAGGGTGTCACTAGTTTTGGGTGGGCTGCAGCTCTCCTGTCACAGCGGGGGCCAGCAGTCTCAGAGTCCAGCCAGCTCTTTCTTTGTTCTCGGTGGATGGGATCATTTCCAGGCAGGGGAAGTAGCCAGTGCAGACCCAGCTTTTCCCTGTTCTGACCACAGCCATCGAGCCGGGGCTCCCCTGAGCCTGATCAGGGCTAGAATGAGTCACTTGGTGACTGAAGGCTGGTTCAAGAATTATTGCATGGTAGCTGCTGGGCAAGTTTCCTGGTTCTGTTTTGTGCTACTGGGAATTGAACTCAGGGTGTTCACAATTTGTTTTGTGATTTTGAGAAAAGGCCTCCCTCTGTAATTCAGGCTGGTGTTGAACTCGATGGGTAGCCCAGGCTGGCCTTGAAATTTGTGATCCTCCTGCCTCAGCCTCCTGAGTGCTGGGATTACAGGCCTGTACTTTTCACCCGGTCTCAGCCCTATTTAAAAAATTTTAGGGATAGTGTCTGCTTAAGTTACATTGCCCACAGTGAATATGAACTCTAATCATCCTCTGAGCCTCCTGAGGGCTGGGATAACAAGCAAGCATCTCATGCCCAGCTGGACTCTGGATTTTGTGTCCCAGCTGTGGGAGGCTGAGTGGGGAACCAGTGATGGCCTTTGTGCAGGGGCAGGGGACCCCGTATTGGGGATCTCTTCAGAGTCAACAGGACACAGGGAAATTACAACAGGCAGGGATGGGGTTTGGTTTTTATGAAAATGAGAAGTGCCTAATGTTGAGCATTGAGCAACCGTTCCTCAGCAGCTACAGCTTTGTGCTCAGCTCTTTTTTATTTATTTATTTTAAAACACTGCCTTGCCATGTAGTCTAGGCTGGCCTCAAATTTGCAACAATCCTCCTGCCTCTGCCTCCTGAGTGCTGGAATTATAGGTGTGGTCTAATGGCAATCTGTACCTGTAATCCCAACACTGGGGAGGCGGAGGCAGGAGGATTACTATGCCTTGTAGGTCAACTGGGCTACGTAGTAGTAAATTGAATAGCAGCCTGCACTATATAGTGAAATTCTGTCTCAAAAAAAAGGAAAAAAGTAGCGGTTTCATAATTGCTGCTGTGACAAATTATCACAAAGCCAGTAGATAAAAAAGCAGCCTCACTGGGCTGAAGGAACAAGAGGCATTATCCACTGTGCGTTGTGCCAGAGCTTGTCCACCCTGGATTCAGCTGAAGTCTGGACAAGAATGATTCCCAGAGACATTGGAAATGTTTCTTTCTTTTCTCTCTCAATCTTTCTCTCTCTCTTTCTCTGTCTTTCTGTGTCTCTGTCTCGCTTTCTGTCTCTTTTTCTGTCTGTCTCTCTCCTATCCGCCTGTATGTCCTTTTCTTTTTTTCCTTTCTTTTTCTCGTACTGGGGACTGAACGCAAGGGCCACTGAGCTCTCCAAGACCAGGGGCCTCTTTTTTCTCATCTGCATCACACATTGTACTTTACTGAAAGCAAAGGAGAGTTCAGATTTAGGAGGAGCAGAGGAACCGCGAGGGTGACTCCCACAGGAAATGTTTGCCGCTTACTTCCGGCCATGCCAACTCCCTGTCCACTGGAGGACAGAGACAGCTGAGGAGTGGGGACAACATCCCCTTTCAAATGGCAGCAAGCCGCCACGCCCCCTCTGTTCTCCCCCAAGGGCATGCTGTAAAGGCTCCAACAAATTCCTAAGTTTCAGGTCTTGCATGGATGGCCCGCTGTGAACAACAATGGCACGAGGATGGGCCCTCTGCAGAGAAGCTGCCCACATCACCGCGGCCAGCCAGCTGGGCAAATGGGCGTGATTTGTCAATCAGAGAGCCAGGACGCATGCTTAGAAAACCATTGGTCCAAACCCTACACTTGGGGCCAATTAGGAAGTGCAGGAAATCAAATCGGTTCTTGATAGGACAGCCTAGATCTGACTTCAGAAGGGGGGCGGGAAATACAAAAAAACCGGCAGTTATGGGGCCATGGTCTCTGTGCTCCCAGTGTCCAGCCTGGCTTTCTTTATGCCTGTCCGAGTCTTCTTCAGGACACCCTGCAAGAACTGCAGGAATGGTCCCACTGACCTCCAGCACCTGGGAACACTTAACTGTAACCTGACACAAAGTGCTGGGATTGCAGGTGTGTGACACCATTTCTGGCTTCAGTGCCTTTTTCTTTTCTTTCTTTTTTTTGAGACAGGGTTCAGGCTGGCCTCCACTTCACTTTGTAGCCCAGGGTGGTCTCGAACTCGCAAAGATCCTGCCTCAGCCTCCCGAGTGCTGGGATTACAGGTGTGAGTCACCACGCCTGGCTATTGTTCATTGCCTTTTTAAAAAGGTGTTTCTTAATATATTTATTCATGGGCTTTCACATTTTATTGATTGATCTGGTTATTTTTTACTTATTTTCATGATTACATACAATTTAGATATGCACAATGATCACATTTATTGGAGGGAATCTGCACCTCTAGATGAAATATCTTTATTGGGTTTATTGGGTTGAGATGGGGGACTCTATATAGCCCAGGCTGGGCTGGAACTTGAGGTTTCTCTGCTTCAGCTTTATCTGTGGCTTTGTTAGGTCACAATTTTATGCTTAATAAAAGTGCAGTTATAAAATAACAAACTTACAGAAATATTATATATAGCAAGTTCAAATCAAATACTGCCCTCTGCCTCGGCTCGTGTGCCTGTCATGTAGCTGGCCTACTAACTTGGGTCAGCCTTGGCTGTCTGGGTCCAGCTACTCCTTCTGATATCACTGGGCCAATTTGACTATTCTCAGCCTGTTTCCCTTAATTAAGAAAATATATTATGGGGCTGGGGATTTAGCTCAGCGGCATAAGCGCCTGTCTGGCAAGTGCAAGGTCATGAGTTAGATCCCTGGTACCAGAGGAAAAAGAAAAAGAAAATATATTGCTTCTAACTGGCTTCAAGGCCTTTGGTTGAGGCAAAGTAACCCAGTTAAAGATGCTTTTAGCTCTGCCTACTGCACTTGAACCCCCTCTCCTCATCCCCAGGATGTTCCTGTGTTATGATAAACAATTCCTTTGAAGCAAATGTGTTTAGAGTTAGTTTTCCTGGCAATAAATGACTCAGTTCAGTCCATTAACCAATCATGTAATGCTGTGTACTTCCTGCTTGTAAACTGTTTTCAACCTGAACCCCAAACGGCCTCAGTGCTGATGATTTGAAACTGAGAGTGGGGGCTGGGGATTTAGCTCAGCAGGCATAAGCACCTGCTTTGCAAGCCTATGGTCCTGAATTCAATCCCTGGTACAGATTAAAAAACAACAACAACAACAACAACAACAACAACAAAAAGAAACTGAGAGTCCCAACAGTCTGCTAGCAGAATAAACAAGGTGTCTTTTAACTCCTCTATGCAGAGTCTTCCACTCAGTTTGATACTGGTTTTTCTGTAACACACAGACATCTCTGACTGCAGGGTCAGGTGAGTCTCAGAAAGTTCCAGAATCTCTGGAGGTCTCTAAATTTGGTGTCCGTGGCTGAGGCATCACTTAGTCTCCTTTGGGATGGGTCCTGTACGAGTGGATGCCAGGGAAGCGTATATACTGGGCTCCTCTTGGAGGGCCCTGACCTGAGAGGAAGGTGGTGCAGCTGTCTCCTGTCTGAGCGTCCAGTTGCACAGCTGGGCATAGGTCACATCCTGAGGACCCTCACGGTCAGCAGCCTACAGGAGAGAGAGGGGGGGAGGTTTTTTTTGTTTTTTTGTTTTTTTTTTTGTCTTTTTCCTTTTTATCGGTACCAAGGATCTAACTCACGAGACTGCCTGCTTGCAAGGCAGGCGCTTATGCCGCTGAGCTAAATCCCCAGCCCTGAGGAGAGTTTTTTGATTGGTGCTGGGAAAGCCTGGGGTCTGGGGAGCATAGGACCCACCTGAGTGTTCATCTGCCTGTCCTTCCCTACCTGTCCATCCTGGTGTCCAGGAGCTACCCTAACAGGGCTGAAGGAGGGGAGGCCCTTCTTCTCCTGGGTTCTGAGTGCTTCCCTGGGCATGTATGGCTCCCTGGGTGTACTTGTCAGGTGGGCTTTGCAGCAGGGAGACAGGGAGAGAGATGGGGTCTCCTTGGTTCCTCCCTGGTCCCCTTCAGCCAAGTTCCTATATGGTGTCCAGAGGTATCTTATGGAAATTAAACCATACTCTGTCCCTCCCTTATGGACCTTCAGGAGCTTCAGAAGGTCTGGAGGTTTTGTGCATTAATTGTTTTGGGTACTGGGGATCTAATTCACCACCACATGCTCGCAAGGCAGGCATTTATGCCACTGAGTTAAATCCCCAGTCCCAAGTCTGGAGGGAGGGTCTGCCTGCTTCCTCACTGCAGTGCTACCCTCACATCCTGACATTGAGACCCTGCTCCCCAGGCTGCAGCCGCATGGCCCATCTTCTTGAAGACCTTTGCACTTGCCGTGTGCTCTGCCTGCAGTGCTGGTGCATTAGAGGTCTCAGTGGCCCTCTCCGTGCTGACTTCAGTTCAGCACTCACCTTACCAGTGTCTTCCCTGTGAGTCTCACTGACCCTCCTGCCCTCTGCCCATTCTCTGCTCTATTTTCTTTCACAGCTTTGTGCACCCCTGACACTGGCCTCCCTCCTCCAGGTGACTCAGGGCAGGAGGGGGCTGTGCCCACTGCTATATCTGCAGCCCCCATGAGGCCAGGTCAGAAGGGAGCCCCTCTGAATGCTGCATGAATGAGGGAGGGAACTTGGGGATATGTGGCTGCTCATTCACTCAGGGTCCTTTGGAGACCTGGAGAGGGAACAGCCAGACAGAGGCTGAGGGATAGGAAGGGGACCCTATCACAGGAAACCAGCAGAGGGTGGGGTCCCAGCAGGCAGAGGCTGGGGTTTCCAGAAGGGAGGGCTCAGCTGTGAGGTCGCTGAGAGCTGAGTGGTGGAGGACAGAGCAGGGTCCCTGGGCCAAACTGGGAGACAGGAAGTCTCTGTGCCCTGCATGGGGCGGGCAGGGTCTCACCTGAGCATCCAGCTCCACCCTGTCCTCAGGCTCTGTGTCCTTCATGGTGGCATCTGCAGGGACAGAAGGGAGGTCACCTCCTGGCTAGAACCTTGGGGTGCCTCAGTCCAACTAGGGACACAGAACCAGGCAGCTGTGTGATGTCCCTGGCCTACAGTGCTGGGGTTCAGTCTGACTCAGCCCTGAGCCACAGCCTCCCCTGCCCCTGTGATGTTGAGACCTGGGGTGTCTCCCTCCCCACAAACCCGCTTCCTCTCACAGAGGTTTTCTTCTTGGGCTGTAGTGGCTTGGCTGGAGCTGGGGCAACACGGGAGTGTCAAGAGTCTGTGAGGACAGCAGGCAGGGGAGTCCTTGTGCAGGAATGACCTCTTCTGCAGGCTTCTGTCCTGGGGCGCTGGCCCCATGGCCCCTGTAGGAAATGGGAAGTCGCCTTTCTCTAGGCCAGGAGGTCAGAACCACCCAGTCCACAGGCCACATAGGGCAGGAAGGAAGCCCTGGACCCCACAGACCAGGGAGCCGATGTGGCCTGAGATGGAGAAACTCAAACCACATCAGAGACAACCACAGGGATGGCCCCTGTGTTCTGTGCTGGATTCTCTGACTTTGTGTTCTGCAAAGGGATAGCTAAGCTCACCTTCCTCCATCAGATCCATGTCCTGGGCCAGTCCTGGGCTTGGACCATGGGGGACCCACAGCTCCGGAGACCCAGGTTACCCTCTCACTACTCACCCGCCTTTCTGCTTTTGCCCTGATGATGGCAACGGAGGACAAAGAAGAGGAGGAGGAGCAACAGCAGGACAAAGGCCACCAAGACAATGATGAGAACCTTCAGGTGCCTTCTCAGTCCTTGTGAAGGAAGTCAGTGGGTGGGCCCTGGGAGCAGCTCCCATGGAGGCCAATACAGAAGCAGAGGTGACTTTGGGAATGGGCAGGGCCCCTTGGCAAGGACCTGTGCTCCAGGCCCATGCTAGGTCTGCATTCCTCATCTCAAACTGAGCCCTGCAATGTGTCATTGCCACCCCCACCCAGGCAGTTTATAGAAAGGGGGATCAGCTACCCTAGGTCACTCAGCAGGAAGTGGCACAGCTGGGAATTGAAGGGGAGGGGGCTGAGTCCCAGACTTTCCTTTTCCTCAGAGCTGAGTCCCAGAGGTGGAGGGAAGGAGCCTGGACTCCTTGTCCCAGCCCTGTGCCCTCCCCTGTACATTGTCACTGTCTCTGCACAGAGGCAGTGTGGGGTCCTGGGGCTCTCCTGGGAGGCCAAGCCTCTCCTCTACACCTGGGGAAACTGAGGCCCACACAGGAGGGGCTGGTCCAAGTCAGCTTCTCCAAAGGAGGCTGTAGTAGCCCCACAGCTCAGCCCCTGTCCCAGACCCCTCCCAGCAGCGCCGTCACTCACCATGCTGGGGTCCTGGCTTGGTGGGCGTGACGGACAGATCCTCAGGGCCTCCTAGCAGGAATGAGGAGGTGAGGGGCTGGGCTCCTTGATCCCCACTTCAACTGCTGCTCCTCTCCCTTGCTGGGCCCAGACATCTCCCTCTACCTTGACCCCACCCTCATGGAGCCCTGACTCTGAGCCTGAGACCTGGGGTCCCTTTGCAGAGCTCTGCTGACCCCCAGTCTCCTGACGTTGTGACGAGGGCTGAGATGGCCTGAGAGTCTCTGGGCAGCCTGGATGCACAGCCCTAGACCCACCTGCTATGGAGCTGGGCCCTAAGGGTGGGGGAATGGGGACCCAGGAGGTCCTAGGAATGCACAAGGGAAGGGCAGCCCATCTATGCTCATGTGGCCTGGAGGTAGACCTCCAGCTACCCATGTGGGACCTTCTTGATTCCAGTGATGGCAGGGAAGGAGCCATACCTGGGAGGAGCCTAGAGGCTTTGTACTCTTCTAGGGGAGAGTCCCCCTCCATGTGACCCTCCCCAAGGGCTCTCACTCTCATCTATCCACTGCTGTCCTGGGTGACCATTTGGATTCAGGATGAGGTCAGGGCCCCCTCACCTGAGACCACGAGCTCCAGGAGCTCACTGGGCTGTGACAACAGATATGGAGCTGAGTCCCGAGAGCCATAGCACCTGTAGGTCCCCTCGAGGGCTGAGCTTGCAGCTCCCATGAAGAATTTTGCCTGGTACGGGTAAACTCGGGACTCTGATCTCAGACGTAGTGGGGCATTGGCTGCCCCCTCCTTGGACAGAAGGAAAGTGTCCATGGGGCTCCGTGACTGACACAGCAGGGTCACGTTCTCTCCTGAGGACACTGTGGGTCCTGGCTCCACCAAGAGAGAAGGTGTGGCAGGGAGCTGTCCTGGAGAGAAGGAGGTGGTGAGGGGCTGCCCCAGCTTGTTCTGAGCTGAGGTCTCAGCAGGGCCCTGAGGGCCCTTGCCCTCTGTCTGTTTCCTCTGACTCTGCCCCTCTGCCTTCCCCTGTCTCTTTTTCTCTCTCCCTTCCTGACATGCCAGCCTCACTCTGACAATCATGCCCCAACAGTGACTGTGCAGAGTCTGGGTCCCTGGGTTCTTCACCTGCGATCAGGATGTCCAGGGGGTCACTGGGGGCTGACCACTCGGAAGAGAGGCTGTGTCCACCGTAGCATCTGTATCGGCCTCCATGGGAGCTGCTTCTAGGGCCCAGTGTAAAGTTGGCCTGAGAGATCCCAGCCTGGGGCTGCCTGCTGGAGCGCTGAAGGAGGTCACCTGCTCCCTCCTTGTGCAGAGTGAATCTGTCATAGGCGAAGTCAGAGTGACACTGGAGAATCAGGCTGTGTTGAGGGACCAGGATGGGTCCGTGTAGGGTCAGGAGGGAGGGCTTCTTGGACAGCCCTGCAGGGAGGAGGAGCTGGGCTGAGGGCTGGTTCGGCCACACGCAGTCCCATGACATCCTGACCTTCTGGTCTCCCTGTCTCTCACACCTGATATGACAGCTGTGTCTAAATGTTCCCCCCAAAATCTTGTGGTCATAGGTGGGGGTTCTTCCAAGCTGGCTGGATCTGGAGTGTGTGGTACTGGGATTATGGGTTGTGGTTACTGAATTACTGCACAGATTAGTTTGTGACTTGACCTAATGGAGCATCCTGGATAGAACACAAAGGAGGCAGGAAGAGGCTGCTGTTGTCTCTTACCTGCCTTGCTCTTTTTCTGCCCACTGTGAACTATTTCCCCTCTGCAATGCTGCCCTGCCTGGGAGCCGGCCACTTGTGGACTGAAACCTCTGCTAACTGTGAGCTAAACAAACCTTTTCTCCTGCAACTTTGAGTCTTGGGTATTTTATCTCCCCCAGGAGTAAAGTAAGACCTGCACTACACGTTGGGAGCTGCTTCCCCTCAGCCTGTCCTGAAGGGAAGGTTGCCCAAACAATAGTTAGCAGCCAAAAATTGAATCCAACAAGACTGGGGCTTCCTCACCTGGAACCAGGAGCACCAGGGCGTCGCTGGGCTCTGAGCACACCTGGGGTGGACTCCCGGAACAGCCATAGCATCTGAAGGTCCACCTCTGGCTGGAGTTTATCCTGCCCACGTGGAACAGGGCCTGGACCTGCCCAATGGGGCCTGGCTGTGAGTTCAGAGTCCAGGAAAGCTGGTCTCCTCCTTCCTTAGTCACAATGAACCTGTGAAATCCCAGCCTTGAGTGACACCAGAGGGTCACGTTCCCTCCTGAGGTCACCACAGGGCTGGGCAGGGCTGAGAGGCTGGGCTTGCTGTAGACTCCTAGGAGAGAGGGAGGCAGCATGTAAAATGGACTCACACCTCCCACAATGTCCCCAGGGCTGGGCTGTGAGAGGAGGACACCCCTGAAAGCAGACCCCTTCCTGAGAGCAGAGCCTGGCACTGGGACCCTGAGTGTCCTCTCACCTGTCACCACCAGCTCCAGGGGCTCACTGGGCTCTGACGAGCCAGCAGGGCTGTGATAGTAACAGCGATGTAGCCCTGCATGGTGCTCTGTCACCGATGGGATGGAGAGCTTGGCCATGTTCTTGAGTGCCAGTGGTGTTGGTCTTGTCCAGTATACTTGGCTTCCCTCTTTGTACAGACCATAATCTTGGGCCCCCCAGGTCCCCTCACACCAGAGGGTCACAGCTTTCCCTCGTGGTATCACAGGTCCTGGCTCAGCCCAGAGCCTGGGTTTGGGCAGGGTCCCTGCAGGGAAGTCACAGCTGGGTCCCAGCACCTTCCTCCTCCCCTCAGATCCCAGATCTTAGCCCCAGGACCCTCCAGACCTCCCAGCACCAGCCCATATCTGCTGTACACCATCCCCACTGTCCAGGGTGGCCCCTTGTCCCCAGGAGGAGGAGGAATCCAAGACAGCTGGGGACACTCTCACCTGCCTGCACTGGGGTCCTGGGGCCCAGACTCAGCCCTGGAAGAGAGTTCCCTGTGAGAGCTTTGCCCTAGAGCCTGAGCAGGTCCTCACCTCCAGGGAGCCTCCTGAGCCCTGTGTGTCCTGATAGACCAGGGCCTGGCTGTGGGGATGGGGTCTCTCCCAGACCAGGGTTCCCCTCCCCTCTTCCCATCTCACCCAGGCAGAGCAGGGCTGTGAGAGTCAGGGTCATGGTGTCTGCAACTCCCGGCCCCGGCTGTGTAGCTGGACAAGACCACAGTGCCTGGCAGGCCACACACACAGGGTGTGGCTACTTCACTGGTGGGTCCTTGAGTCACAGGATTGTCACATCAGCTTCTTATGAGAAGAGGAACTGCCTGCCCAGGGTCTGGCTGTGGTTTTCTCAAGGCTGAAGCCTGGCAAGATACAGGTTTTCTTCAAGCAGCAATCAGGGTTCCCCTGCCCCATCCACTGTCTTTCTGCTCTGTCCTCACCTCCCTGAGGCCAGCACTCAGCAGGAAATACCCCTGGAGCCGCCCCTTCCAGAGCAAGGTCACCTTGGGCTGGTCCTTCCTCTCAGAGCCTTCCATGGGTCTCCTCCCTCCCTCAGCCGGTCCACCTGCATAGCACGGTGCTCCTCACTATGGCAGTCCTCCTCCAGCCCTGGAGATGCTCCAGGAAGACCCAGGTCCCACGGCAGGTGGACGGGAGGGAGCAGAGATGCGCTGAGTCCTGGCTGTCAGCTCCCTGGAGTTGCATCTTGGGGATGAGCAGGGGACAGGCAGGGACCTGGCTCTCCTGACTCCCAGTGCGAGTCTCCCCTGCTACCCCATCCTCTTGGTACAGTGAGAATCAAGGGAGCACAGGGCATGGCTGTCTTTCCTCTGACCCTCAGCAGCACCCAAGTTATAATAAAAGCCTCGGAGATTGCCAATGCCCTGGCCCAGAGCACTGGGGCCTTGGGTACTCACTTGGGCACCTGAGGCAGAGGTGCTGGCCTTTCGGTTCTCAGAGCCTGGCTGACCGGCCTCTGTTGGTGCAGACGCCTTTGACCTGTGTGTGGTGCTTTGTCACCGCGGGGTCTGCCTCGGCCTGTGTTGCCTGTTTGTGGTAGGGGCTGACCCTGGCAGAACTCCTCGTGACCTTCCACTGGCCCAGCTTTCACTCCTGGGCCACCCCACTGGAACCCTCTTATGGAGACCCGCTCCCTCCTCCCTGGACAGACTCCCCAGCCAACTCTGCTCCTGGTGGGGCTGAGTTCTCTTGAGTGCCTGGTTGAGTGTGGTTTTAGCTTCCTCTTTTGTTTCTTTTTCTTTGATACCAGGAATCAAACCCACAACTGCGTGCTTAAGCTGCTGAGCTAAATTCCTGGCCCCATAGCTTCCTGTTTGGACCTATTATTGTCCTTGGTACCCCATAATCAGACAGCAGAGTGGGGGGTGTTGGTGCAGGCCCGTAACCCCCGGTTCTCCAGAATTGCAGGTTTGGGCTCAGCTGGGCAGCGCATGGAGATTCACCTCGAAACGGAAATGAGGTGTGGACTGGAGTTGCAGCAGTTCCGGCGGTCCCCTGGTTTGATCTTGGCACTGCAAGGAACCAGGACAGCGTCTGTTCTTTCAGGGAACACACTCAATCTGGGCATCCGTGTCCTATTCCGCCCCCTCCCCGTTCTCTGGACCCCCTCATGGACCCCTTTAGAAGTCCCCATGGTGCACGACACCCGTGTGGGCCCAGTCTCAGGCACCCTGGGGCCGTTCCCGCCACTGCAGGAGCCCTAGTCCAGCCTGCTGGGAAGCCCGCGAGCCCTAGCACCCACTGCGCTGCAGCGCCATCTCGTGGCCAGTAACGCGCATTTCCCTCCACCTGCTCCATCTAGGGCCCTGCGCATCCACCCACCCCCAGAGCAGGAGCCTGGCATCCACGTGGCTCTGGCTCGATACCCACCCCCACAAAAAAACACCAGGTGAACAAGGAACACAGCACCAAATTTTACTTTTTTTTTTTTTTTTTTGTATTTTCACCGGTACCAGGGATCGAACTCACGACCACAGGTTTGCAAGGCAAGCACTTATGCCGCTGAGCTAAATCACCCGCCCCATCATCGAATTTTATTAGCATCCGAACGCGCAGGGGCTGCAGGGCCCAGGGTGAGCCCGGGCTGCACACGTAGTGGAGGGGAGGAATCCTCCCCCATGGGCACAGAAAGAACTTTATTCCCGTCACGCGAGTCCCACGGACGCGGCCAGTGTCCCCGGTGCCGGCGACTGTCTCTTAGGGCGACGCTCGAGAGAGGACGCACTTCCCTCCATTTACACAGAAAGTGCTTCTCGCTCGAGGGGCGCCCCGGAGCCCGGCTTCCTCCTGATGCAGCAAATGAATCTTGGAGCTGGATTGGGAGCCTAAAAAGTGCAGTTCAAGACCTGCAGGGCACAGCCGCCACCCCCACCCAGGACAGAGGAACGCGGAGAGCAGTGCTGGAGCCGAGCCACGGGCTAGGAGGACTGTGGGGCCTCGCAAGCAAGCTCCAGTGTCCCCATGGCCTCCGCAGGGCAGGCACGCATTTGGGACGAAATCTGGCCGAATGACAGGCGTGGTAGGATGAAGCAGGACAATGGCTGAGATTTCCAGGCCGGCTCAGCATGCAACAGTGAGTTTAAAGCCAGCTTGGACTGCACAGGGAGCCTCTGCCTTTAAAAAAAGAAAACAAACAAACAAAACAACAGAAAAACGAAAAACCACAAGAATCCTGCTCTTGCCACCTAAAGGCAAATCCCAGTCGTTCCCCCCCCCCCCCAAAAAAAAGCTGCCGACCCCAGCAGGCAGTAGTTGCGCAACCAGGATGAAACCGCGGCAGCTTTGAGCTGGGATCTGTTTCACACTTGCCAGGCTCAGGCAGCGCAGGGCTTTGCACAGCTGTAGTCCCAGGACAGCCAAGCATGCCTGCCCCCTGCTGGTTGCCGGAAGTAGTGACACCAGGCGCGGTCGCAGCCTAGGACACGGGGGAGGTGGGAGGGGAGACTGGAGGCCCGCAGACCAGAGCCCCCGTTCCCGAGCCGCTGTAAGCTCCGCGAAGCTGGGCCGTGCCCTGGGCACCGTGGCAAGGAAAAGCCCGCGCCCGTAGAGCACATGCGGTGCTTTCTATGCATTTCTAATAGAGTCCCTTGACCTGACTGTGAGTTTCACACTCAAGGATTCAACTAGGACTCAGACAAGAAAGGAAGTGTTTTTTTGCTTCAGGATGGCAGGAAGCAGGGAGATCCTCGCGAAGGAAGGAAGGGGCCCCTGCCCTCAGGACCCACGGGCTCCTTCCCTGTAATCTCAGCTCTTGACAGGCTGAGGCAGGAGCCTGTAATACACTGTGGGACCCCTTAACTCCCCTCAATATATAAATTATATAACTAAGACTCAAAGGGAGAAGTAGAAGCACGACGCCGATCCCAGCGGGGAGCCTCCAGGCGACCTTGCCCGTGCGCCCCAGCGCCGTGCAGCCACGTGCCAGGTTCCGGAGGACGCACCATGACGCACGGTGATGCAGACCTCAGCAGGCGCCACTCAGCCGAGGTAGCACTTCCGGGCAGTAACAGCAAGTGCCTCTGGGCTGAGTGCCGCACACCGCGGCAGCCACTCCCTTCCAGGGTGCTGGGACTAGGCCCGGATGGCTGCAGACCTTTCCCGCCAGCCCAGCCCAGCCTAGCCCAGCCCAGCGCCCCCTCCCCCCAGACGCAGGCTCTTCATGCTGTGGTGTCTGATAGGGGACGATGACAGCTTTAAAACCCAGGCTGTGTGATTCCACGAGGAAATCGCCGAGGACAGAGCTGCCCTGAGGAATTTGAGGAATCTGCTGCTGTGAGAAAGTAATCAAGTCAGGGAAAAACATCCCTAAGCTCAAGAGCAGGGACCTTGCGTTAGTAACAGCTTTAAAGCCTGTTAGGAAGCTCGGCCTGGCCAGGGAGGCCTGCAAACCTCGCAACTAGGGACGCAGGAGATCGCCAAGGTTAAACCCAACCTTGGTAATTTCGTGAGACCGTGGCTCACCGTTTTAAATAGGGTCCAGGCGGGGTGGCACTCTCGGCCTGTAAATCCCAGCACTCAAGAAGCTGAGGCAAAGGATTGCCCTGGGTTCAAGGCTAGCCTGAGCTCCATAAATTCAAGCCTACCCTGAATTACAGTGTGATTCTGTCTTGAGAGAAAAAAAATTTGAACAGGAGGCGAGCTTGATGGCATCCGCTTGCAATCCTGGCACTCAGCAGGCTGAGGCAGGAGGATCGGTACGAGCTCCAGGCTCTCCTGGGGTAACAGTGAATTCAAGGCCAGTTTGGGATATAGGGTGAGACCCTATCTCAAAAAACCACAAAGAAACAAATTAGGCTGGGGCGGTGGCTTGTCTGTAATCCCAGCACTCAGGGAGGTCGAGGCAGGAAGATAGCAAATTTCAGCCCTGCCCTGGCAATTTTTGAAGATCCTATCTCACAATAAAACATAAAACCACCTGGGGATGGAGCCCCTCGGGGTAAGGAGGCCCTGTAACTTCAGAGAGGAGGGCCCTTGCCTGAAGTGCCAGAAACAAAAATTTTTGTAAAAAGGTGAAGAGGGGGAAAAGGTGAAAGAGAAAAATCCATGATTTCAGCGGGGGCTGGGGCCGGGTCTCCTGAGGTTGGGGAGGGAAAGCCTGGGGTGGGGGTGGGGATTAGAGGAGGGAGGAGGGAGATACTCACCGTCCAACAGCACTGACCCTGGGCGAGAGAAAGGGCTGGAAACTGGCGGCCACGTCTTTTATAGCCCTGGGCCCCAGGAAGCCACCACCCTGCCGGCCGGCCGGGGCTGGACACTGCTCCGCCCTCCCTCCCTCTGCGAAGCCCCTGGTTCTATGAAAAGCCTGAACTTCGGGCCTGGTGGCTCTCCGTGGCATCCCAGCACTTGGGGGAGGCTGAGGCAGGAGGACTGCTGTGAGTTCAAGGCCAGCCCGAGCTACACAGTGAGACCTTGTGTCAAACAAACACCACAACCAATGAAAACACCCAGAACCATCGTCCTGTTTACCACTGGAAGTTTCAGTTTCTGATTTGTTGTGGGAATTGGCTACCTTCTGGAAGCCAGGGAGAAGGCAGGTGTGGGAAGTCTGGGAAGGCCTCCCCCTCCCCCCAGGAGCCTGCTGAATCGTGGGTCTTTGAGACAGGACCTCACCTGGTCACTAAGTGGCCCAGGCTGGACTTGTGATCCTCCTGCTTCAGCCTCCCAGAGTGCATGGTTACAGCTTGTTTTGCTTGTCCTGGCTGTCCTCTCCCTCCTCCTCCTCCGGCTGTAGTGCTGGGCTGTGGGGGAATGCGAGGCCCTGCAATGCTAGGCCGGCCCTGCAGCCCCGGGGCCACTCCCCAATCCCTAGCTCCAGCTAACTTCCTGTGTGCCCTGTGCGGACCTGAGCCAGCTAGGCCTGGGAGATTGTGAGTGCGTGGACAGAGACTCCATTAAATGCCCAGGGACTCCATTAAATGCTGGTGTGCTGAGCACAGGCTCACTGGGCCTTTTCTCTTGGGCCCGCAGCTGAGTCCACAGCCTAGGAGAGACTGCAGGGT